CTCAGGCTTTGGTTATCCCATGCGAATGCGCCACATAAAAAGCAGACGTTGGGGAATAATTTATTTATTACATGATTATTTATTTCTTGATAAACAAATTTTACCTTTGGTGAAGAAATGTGATTATGGGGCCATGGTCATCTCAGACTATGGTCCACTTATTATGAAATTGGTTATCCTGATCACAAAATTTGTATTTCATCTTTGGAGGTTCAACCCCTTACTTCTATCCGAGGAAGACTTTAGTAAATTTCTTACATCTGCAATTGAATTTTCTCTCAAAGTTAACTGAACACCATAAATGCCACTCAATCATTAATCCGTGACTTTCTTTTTGTAGGTGTTGGTTGGGTCCCTCTTAGTGTTTCGTAGATGTTTCTGTTGCTCAGTAATGTAGATATTTTTTCCTGGTAATGAGAAGTGTTGAGGACTAGTGTTTATCTTCCTTTGTCAACTGGTACAATGGTGATGTTTTGGTCCTGGCTAAGCAATGTTATAGCTTTTCTTTCCTGTGGTGGGAGATTTGAAGGAGGCCGCTTGGCACTGGAGAGGGTTGCGGATATTTTCATTCTGAGTTGTTCTGCCTCTGTTTTTGCCAAGTTGTTGTTCCTAATCGTGGATTCAGTGGCAGTGAATAGATCCACAACAGGTATTTCTTGTGGAGAGATGGCAAAATTTAGTCCTTTAGCAAGCACATCTTTCTCAGGCTGTGTCAAGGTCCTGTTTGCTCTGTTTGTGTCCTTGGTGTAGAACCCTGCAGAGCTGCTTTTATCTGTTCTGCATTACCACTGGTAACCCCCCGCTGCGCCTCACTCCCCCCCCCCCCCCCCCCATCTCATCTCTCTTCTTAAGCCTTTTCCATTAAAGACATAAATGCTGTGAGCCGATCTGTTCCATGAACCCCTGACAGAGATGGGGCCTGAGACTGTTGTCAGTAATCTGACTACCAGCTGCTCGCTCTCAGAAAACTAGCTATGTTTACATGCACACAATTCTTTGACTGGATTGAAATGCTTTCAGATTAAACAATTGTTCTTTCACCCCATTTAGGGTTATATGTTGCAAAGTTGAGTGTTATTTGTAATTTCATGGAGTAAGTTCTTTGAGTTTCAGAGTATTTAGTTTGTTTCTCTTCAGCAGGTTTGACAAGGACAAAATGTACCCATTCCCAAGTCTGTTAGCTAAACTGCACACATATTTTGGTTATTTTTTTCTTTTCTTACTTTTAGCACCACTAAATCACGTGTCAAACTCAAGGCCCATGGGCCAAATCTGATCCACCATAACCATTTCTGTGGCTCTCTACACCCTAGAGGGCCACAGAGACAGAACTTCAAGATAACAGTTGTGTACTTCAATATTATTTTATCAGTCAAATCAAATCAGTTTTTATGTTTATAATGCCAAATTACTCAAACATGAAATATTGAATTTTTAGAAGTATTCATTGAATGCAGAAAAAGTTATATTTTACCAGTTTGTTAATAGGTCGTTTTATCAATACTATATTATATAATAGTTTATGTTAGTTGGGTGAATGATCTGATCATCTAACTGTTATTTGCAGTAATCCACATTATTAGTAAAAATAGAGGGCCCCAAACCAAATTTTGCTTAGGGCCCCATGGAGGCTTGGGCCGACCCTGCTCGCGGGCCACAATGGGTTCTAAAACTTAAGCGAAGTGCCAGGCCAGGAACAGATGGATGGTGCAATAACAGCTGCCGGGACACAATGAATAATGGGCAATTCCACCTTCAGCACCACTCAAGCAGCCATGGAGTTGGGATTATATGATAGAACAATGATTTTATTTACAACAGTGAATAAAATCATTAAACTAAGTCTTACCAACTTTATGGCGAGCCCAGGCCAAAACAAGAAACAAAACAATCCATCCCCACTGTATTCTCTCTTATCTGAAGAAATATAAAATGAATCAGAACACAAGTCTCTTACCTCACTACGCTAATGAAAAACAGGAAAAAAGTCTAAATAAAGTGGTAGCTCACACCTATAAGCTCCTCACAAAACTATTTACGACAGGATCTAAAGTTGAGTGACAGCAGGTCAACATTTCCCTCAAATCAGCCACAGATGTACAAATCACAAAACAAGAATTAAATTTTAAAGCAAAGCCTAAATAAATAAATAAAAAATCCGTATACAAGAAACAAAACCACACATCTAAATTGAACAATGAAAGTAGACACAATGATTGCAAATACATCAAATGATGAAGAAAACCTATAAACCTCTGCTCACAGACTCATGTTCATGTTTGTGCTGATGTTCAATGTTTTATGTTATGAGTGCTTAGTGTATATTTAGTTGATGTTTTTCTTAGTTCATATCTTAGATGTTATTACTGTTTTTCTTATACATTTTATTGTTGGATGTAACTGGGACCCCGTGAACATAATTTTGTTCCACCACATGTACCACATGAGGTGCGAATGACAATAAAGAATCTCTGACTCTGATAAAATTTTAAATATACAGTAGATGTTTTTGTAAAGTCTGGTTCATCAGACATTTAATGGTGAACTAAAGTTCATTAAAAGTTCATTAGCAGGATATATATATATATATATACATATATATATATAGTTTAATTTGATCATTTTCATAATCCGTATTCTTTTTAATTTACCAGAAACTTCAAAATAAATTCTCACCGTATACTGAAACCTGTTTTAGGGTCTTACCACCAGCATTACCGCCACCAGCTGAGCTGGTAAGGTGCGCGGCGTCAATTTTTGAATTCTGAACCCACCCACTAAAGCCATTATGGAGTATTATGGAAGACCAGTTGTACTGTGCTGTACTGTGCTGTACTGTGCTGTACTGTGCTGTACTGTGCTGTACTGTGCTGTAC